TATACTATATACTATATATTTAAATATTATATACTTTATATTATAAAATATTTTATTAAAAGATCTGTAGATCAATAGCACTGTGATAGTACTCTCGGGTCATAATCATAAGATCTATAGTTCGTTATCACTTAGGAACCAAAAATCAAAATTATCCTTCTGATCAAGTTTATTGATTATTCTGTAAAAGTCATATCCAATTATCTAGAACAAGCTTCAATTAGGTTAGACTATATGAAGATGAGACTTCTGGTCTTCTGTTAATCAGGAACTGAGATCTACAGTTATACTATCAGAAGAATTACATGAAGAAAGGTTTCTGGTCTAACCTATTATAAACGCCCTACAGATCTCTTATTTTGGTAGTCTCCAGGACCTCCATCCTTCTAGCTCAGGATATCCCAATATAGTGCTCTGCTTAAATGAAAACCAGTCAAATAAAACGGATCTGATATCACAGGTAGTAACAAAAAATATAAAGTGCCCCCTTCCAAGGTCTAAGCAAATAATATTTCTAGGAGTATTGAAGAATAAAATTAAATCCTGTTAGGTACATACTATACAGCCTAGTTTAGCAAATATAATACTAAAATTTATAAAGCTCACTACAAAATTAGCCGGTTTTGTCATCTATGACTGTGTATTTGACCATCTGGCTCCTAGCTGGTCTGCTCCACTCACAAAGTGATAGTAGGTTCACCTAGAAAAAACTGCAATGGGTTATTATTAATCTATATGTATATAGAAATATATAGTTTATATGAGATGATTGATGTAATGCTCTAAAGGATTTCATTATCCAAGATATTAAGTTAATTCTTAATAAAAAAGCATATGCATCTAATATCAGTTCAGTTTAAAAATATATATATATATATTTTATTAAAGCTAAATCTTTATCTAATTTACTTGTTTCTATTTTAAATTTTCTAAAACTTTAAGTACAACTTTAGAAATAATTTATTATTCTATTAGTAGTCTAAGTAAAGACTCTTCTAATTATTAATTTTATTGTCTATAGATAACTACTATAGATATATAATAATCAATTTATTTTTTTATATTATTAATAAAAATTTTTATTATTTAAAAAATATGAGAAATTTATTAAGCTAATTTGAATTAAACAAAACAAAGTCTAAATTAAGTATTTTAAATTATATTTAGAAGACAATATTTTATTTTCTTAATAGATTGATTAAATTTTTAACTATTGGAATTATTATTTATAATTTGTTATTATAGATTATTCTTAAAAAACTATAAATTTTCAAATTATTATATTAAAAAAGAGAAAATGAAAAAATCAATTTAATTTTTTTTAAAAGATTTTTATTTGAATAAATAATTTTCTTTTAAAAAAAATCCACATAATTATGATATTTTTTGAACTTTAAATTATTTCAAAAACTTGATTATTTCTAAATTTAGAAATTTTAAGAAAAATATTTAAGAAATTTATTTTTTTATTAGTATATAAAATCACTTATTGCACTATTAATATTAATATTATATTACAATAAAGTTATTTTAATTAAAATAAAAAAAAAACTTTGTAGAAACTTTGTTTAGTTAAGATAAAAACTTAAAAATTTTAACTTTCTTTTTAAAAAAATCTTTTTATTACTTGAAAAATTTGTTAAAAAATAAATATTCAATATAATATTTTATATTTTTTACCTGTTTTTTAATATTATAATTGTTTTTTTTTTTTTTTAAAAGCTTGCTCAATTTAAAAGTAAATTTTTTATAAACTTTTCTTTTCTATCACTAATAATATTATTAAAATATATAAATATAATTAATAAGAACTTGTTTATAATTTAAAAATTGATATTTTTTATATTAATAAATCATCTTTATATTACTTAAAAATTTAAAGTTTATTTGAAATAGGTAAAATTTATTAGAAAATTATAAAAACAGAAACTTTAAAAGAATAACAACAGTTAATAAAAAAAATTGGTTTTTTTATTATAACAAAACTTTATAAAATTTGTTTTAAAGATCTATAATGATAATCTGCAATTTATAAAGTTAGCAGTTAAATAAGTTTTTATTTGAACTACTAATGAAGTGATAAATTATTCCTGAAATTGTACTTAAAGTTTTAGAAAATTTATAAATAGAAACAAGTGAATCAAATCAAAATTTAGTTTTAATAAAATATTCAAAATATAAAGTATATAAATGTTTAATAAATCATACATACTTAATTTGATTAAGTGTTTAAAAAAATTTTTTTTTTTGCTTTAAAGATAAAAAAAAGTATTTATGTATTTTATAACTAGTTTTTTTTTTTTTGAATATTAATTTATTATTAGTAGCAAAAGTATTATTTGATCTTATTTTGATTATCAACAGTCAAGTTTTTTATTAAAAAAATTTGTAATAAAAAGAGAAATATATTGGAGATTTTTGAAAATACTCTTCAAGTTGTTTTAAGAATAGTAATTAGATTTTATTAGTCAAAAGTTCAATAATTTTTGCTGAATATCTTTTTTATATTTGTTTAAAATATCATCAAAAAAATTTATATTTAATATTTTATAATTAAATAATATTGTTATAAATTTTTAAAATTAATATTAAATTTAGTTGGGTCTGTCCACTTTCTGAGTGATAGTAGGTCCATCTAGAAATGCCGCGATAGGTTATCATTAATCTGCAGGTATATAGAAATATATAGGTTGTAAGAGATGATTGATGTCAATGTTCAGATTCTATAAGATCCATGATGTTAAGTAAAATTCTTAATAAATGTGCTTGCATCTAATACCAGTTGCGGTTAAATATAAAAAATAAAATTAATATTAAATTAATTTTTTTGAAAAATTAGTAATTTAATTTTATTATAAATAATATATAAATTTACAATACAGTTATTTTTAAAAGTTTGAATTTACTTATCATATTTTTATTATAAATTTAGATTTTGATAATTTTTTAAATTTTTAATTATATAATTAAAGATGATATAATTTATACTGCATGATTGATTTCAAAAGTTTGAGTTTACTTATTATGCTTTTATTATAAATTTAAACTTTATCAATTTTTTAATTTTTAATTATACAATTAAAATAATAAAATTTATATATATTATGTTTTAATGTTGTCATATTTTTTATATTTTTTAAAAAAATTTTTTTACAAATAATTTTAAAAGTCTTATTATTGTTAAATATTTTTTTTATTTTTTATTAATTACTATATGATTTATAGTAACAATCAATTAAAATTATTTAAAAGTAAAAATTTGATAAAGAAAGAAAATTTTTAACAATAATGATTCTTTAAATATTACATACAAAAAATTTTTGAAAAAAAATACAAGAAATAAAACTAGTATTTGGAAACAACTGTATATAAAAATTTTGATTCAAATTAGACTACTAAATATTAAAAAATCAAATATTTCTTTAATTAAAAATTTTTTTAAATAAAGACAAACCAATCATTATGTTTGATTGTAAATTAAAAAAAAATATTCCTTGCATAAAAAATGAAGCAAATAATAATAACAATAATTTTTAATAATAATTTATTTAAAATCAATATATATACAGGATACAGTATACACGTTAAAATAAAACATAAATATATAATGAAAAGATTTTAAAGGTTATATTGGTTTATAAGAAAATAAGAAAAATAATGAAATGAAAATAAAAAGTATAATAATATGAATTAATATTTTTAAAATTATAAATAAAGTTGAATATTTGATTATAGTAACAATAAACTTGATATTAATGTTTTAGTTGTTTTATAATGGTTCCTAGAAATTTTCAATTATATAATTTTAAATAAAATAAATTAACGGAATTATGATTTAACAACTTTTTTTTTCTTTGTATTGAAATTAATTAGATCGATTCGATATATCAAGATTAAAAAATTTTTTTTTTTACTTTAAAGCACTTGGATTCATCAATTGTAAATATTTCATGTGATAGATAATTAATAAGAAATATTTTTTTAAATGTTATCATGCGTTCAATTAAAAGTTAAAATAAGGTAAGCATATTAGTTCTCCTTGGTTGGAGTGGCATCAAGCCGCGAGGTAGCTTTCGTAAGTCTTGTCTGGTAAAAAATAGAACAATCATCCCTATACTTGGACATCTACATCTGTCTCCCTGCTCTGCAATGTGTGATATCTCTCTTTCGAATAAAGCAGGGTTGAGAAAAAGAGTGAATAAAAAGTAACCGAAATGTCATAGGATTAGTGTAGCAGCTGCTGAACTAATGAAAAATGCAAACAAATCCCTCAAAAATCACGAATCCTTTCCATTATAAACGTTAAAACCAAATCAGTTGGATTAAGCAAAACAGATCTTGTCCGAACCTCCGGACTGATTAAGGAATTCCTATTTTTAACAAATTTCATAACGGTAATGATCCTCTTTAGGATTAGTGATTCACACGGATCACCCGAAGTTACTCATGTGCGTATGAAGCATCTTTTTCTCCCAGGAGTTAATGCGAATAGCGTTGAAAACCAAGGAAATCGCGCACGCACGTCCCGTACAGTCACGTGGTCAATTATGCACGCACGGTACGTGATGTGTACAGTATGTATCAATATGCAATAGTATTAATCTGCCTTTTCCAAATGAGGTTTTCTAATCTTTTCATAAAGGAAAGAAGAAGGTCTTCGTGCATAAATACGGTAGTTACGCACATACATACGTAATCTCCGGTAACAAAAAATTTTTTATCATTCTTCAAATGTTGTGCTCTGCTATTGTTATCCGGTGTTGTAATACATTTTAATGAAAATCCATGTCTTAAAAGTCCTCCGTGAAACCATGTGTTCAATGAAAGCCGAGCCTCGCCAATATTGAATGGTGTGTATTGACTTCTGAGATAGGTTTCACTCCATAAAAAGAATGTTACACACTTCATTCAGATCATATCACATAATTCTTATATTCTATCAGAATCCAAATCACAAACACAAAAACCATCGACAAATTCTTTCTCTCTTAACCCCAGATATGACACGCTCAATTCTTGCATTGGATGTTACTAAGACGAGAACATCCCGTCGTAGTTCAAAATCCTCGATAACCTCATCGACATCAAATCCGCCAAGCATTCCCACCAGTCCCACAACAAAATCCTCGGGAGCAGTCAACAAAAGTGATCGCAATCCACGATCACCCTCCATAGATTATGAGTTGAATGATGCACTTCGTTCTTTGGTCGATGAACTATGTGACATATTCGTTGATGCCAGGCAAAGAGGAATGAATGAGGCACAAACTGTTGAACTTTTGCACAACTATTTCAAGCTGCAAAACCAGGATCCCTCACAAATTTTTGAATGGTTGCAAAACAATACACACAAAAATGAGTACACAACTATTTTGGGTTATTTCTACGATCAAGGTATAGCAAACGCTAGAAATCAACGCAAGGCATATTGTCTGTACCTTTCCGCGGCGAAGAAGGGATACAATTTGGCTCAAGATTTGTTGGGCGACTGTTATTATTCGGGTCAAGGTACAACACGGGATCGTGATATGGCTTTCGAATGGTACCACAAGGCAGCAGATAACGGCTGCACAGGATCACAATTTAGCCTTGGTATATGTTATGCAGTTGGTAATGGTACCCCTAAGGACCACTACAAGGCATTTCAGTACTATAAGAAGTCCGCGAATGGTGGCAATGTTAGCGGCAAAAATGAGCTCGGATATTGCTATGAGATGGGAATAGGCACGAAGAAGGATAAAAATAAGGCATTCTTGCTGTTCGAACAAGCCGCAGAAGGCGGGAATCCACCGGGACAACATAATTTAGCAACATGTTACGAGGAGGGAAAGGGAACCGAAAAAGATACAGATAAGGCAATCTATTGGTATAAAAAGTCGGCTGACAATGGTCATGAATTAGCTAGGAAGAGGTTGGACCAATTATTAAAGTTGCTTGGGAGCAACGAAGAGGATGAGTTTTCCGACATTTCTTCCACGTCCTCAACTTCCTGAAAGGTAATTATTAATTAATTAGGCCATGTGATCGAAAATTTTTTTTATTATTCGTCATTAATCAATCATCATACACCGTGTTGAATTAGTAGCAAGACCGAGTTTTGTATTCTGTTTAAAAGAAAAACTCGCACTTTTGAACATTTGGATAAAGTGAGATATGCAAAATCATAAACATTAATGAAAACTTTCTGTAATTAACTTAATACCAATCCAAAATTTTTCTTGTTTAATAATTTTTCTCCTTTTCTATCAATCATCATCCGTCTTTTGTATTTTCCCTCGCCTTATTAAATTCCGTTTATCCCCTTTCCTGTCAATTATTTTTCTTTAATTCATGTCATTTTATTTTTGCGCATCGTCTTTCTTGATGTACAATTTCTTTTTTTTTTTTTTGAAACTTTCTTTGTAGAATATTTTAAAAACATTGCTGTCATGTTTAGTTTATATGCTACAAATGTAAAATGAACAAAGTTCGCGGTGTCTTATATTTTTATTCGACTGCACACTGTAAAAAACGGGAATTACTTTGTATACCGTACTATAAAGCACCTTCGCATCGTGCTTCCGGGGCTCACATTCTTAATGTCAAGACGCCCTTCTTATACTCGCCATTGTGTTTAACATCATTCGCGTGCTTTATACGTAATTCCCTTTGCGTGAGCAATTCGTAATTATTGCATATGTACTCTCGCTGAAACGTGTGCAACATTTCTTTTGTAATTTCAGTAACAATGTAGCACGGAATTGGTAGTTACGTAATTTCAAAATTATCAACGTGCCCACAATTTGTCCCAATCTTCCTAATCTAGGTGAGAATACGTACTGCCGCAGGATATCTTTTTTACCTACAGTATCTATTTTTCGAGGGCGTAGAAAAACTTTTCAAATCCAACTGTAGTAACTAGCAATATATTTTCTGTATATTGAAAACTTTCTAAAGATTTTACAGAAGATTAATGTTAATGTTATTTAAATAAGAAGCCTCATAGCTCAAACAAAGTCAATCTAGATTTCTTAATCGGTTCTTTGATACAAGAGTAACATGATTAATACGAATGGATGTAAGCACATTAATAACAGCCTCTCGTATTTGACATACACAAATTGATGGAACCCTGCCATGAAAATTATAAAAAGGCTCCATCTTTTATCGTTGTCTTCGCTCTTAACGCTGTTGATCAAAAAACAAAAGAAGGCAAACGAAACTATAAAATACTGTAATTGCTGTCTGCCTCCACCCAAAACTTCCCTTCCGAGCAAGCATGCGAATATTCCAAATATGATCCCCAAAATCCACTTATCTTTTAAACTCAGACCATTCTCCCATAAATAAAGATGACCAATGAAGACTCCCACTGCGACGACGCTTACCAATAAACCCTCTCTCGACAATGCCCTGTACACCTCAGGCTCATCACTAATCAAAGCGCGCATTCCCGCTCTTACGTACGAGGTCAGAATGACACTTATCACATAAGCAGAATATATAAAGTAAGTAAACAAGCCAATGACCATGATGGAGTTGTAGCGAACACAAAGTTCCAGTATCCAGAGGTAGGAAACAGAGAGGGCCGTGACAACGAATTCCATAATGAAGAGGGAATTTGGAATAACGCTGCCAGACGAAAGGAGGAGAATCCACACGGCGATTCCATAGAGAAAGAAGATTGGAAGGATTACAGTGAGGGTGTAATGGTCAACATCTGGTAATGGAATATCAGGAAATTTGAGAGGGTATGCCAAGACGGGTGTCACGCGAAGGAGGTAGAGAGGAATGAGAATGCTTATGGCGGATCGACAGAACGTCTTCCATGAGAATCGAGGCATCAGGAAGAGATGTCAAAATCAAAATGCCATCATTTACGAATATATCTCTTTTTCGTTGCACAATAAACGTGTTTGGGATTGCGATACGTAATCACTTTTACTTAAATGAACTTCTATTGTTTCTGGATATGACTCTTTGCATGATACAAACGCCTTCATCTGAGTTACAACTTGCGGGAGATGCACAATCTTTTTAATGTGCTAAACTCTATATTATTCCATACTGTATATACAATTAATATAGTCGTATTGGTTATCAAAAAAAAACCTGTATAAATAAACATATTATAATTGGCTAAATTTCATATAAAATTTAATAAATAAAATAAAAATTTGAAATATTTATTTTAAATTTTGAATTATTAAAAATTTGTAAAGACTAATTTAATTTAATTTTTTTTTTTAATTCACAATAATACTGTTAAATCTTTATTGAGATATTAAATAAATATTTATATTACATTAATAAAGAAGTATAAAAACTTCTTGCAAACATCTTTTTTGTATAAAATAATTAAACTTTATTAAAATTTAATCTACAATATATATATATAATATTTATAAATTTTTATTTTTTAATTAATAAAATTTTACTATTTTTCTTAAAATTATTTAAAAAATATTTTATCTTATTTATAATCAAAACCTTGACTTTTAATAATTAAAAAAATCTAAGTAATATTTTTATTAATAATATTAAAATGTTTTTTTAAAAAAATTAATTATTAATAACTGAAAATTTTTTTTTATCTTTAAAATATATACAGTATATTATAATAAAATTATTTATATTTTTTATAAATTTTTATTTTTATGATTTTTTGAAAAATTTGATTATTTCGATTTTATTTTAATTTTATATAGTACAATTCTTATTAAAAATAATTGTATTAATAAAAAATACTCTATTTCTTAAACTATAATTATGTATTTGATAAAATTATTGATAATAAGAAAAAAATTTATAAAATTTTTTTTAAAAAATAAAAGTTTTTTATTTTTATTCTAATTAAGTTTTTGAAAAGATTTTTTTATCTTAATCAAATAAACTTTTTTATAATATAATATTTATTTTAAAAATATAATAAGTAAATTTATATATAGATAAAAAAATAAGTTTTTAAAATGTTTTTTAAAATTTTATATAAAAATGTAAAAAATTTTTAAAAAAGAATTCTTAACTTAAAAAAAAATTTTTTTTTTGAATTAATTTTGATTTAATTAATTAATTTATTTATTTAATAAATTAATTTAATAATTTATTTTTTATTTTTTTTTTGAAAATAATTTATAATAATAAACTATTAATAATAATCTTAAAAAATAGAAATTCTTAATATTAATTTATTAGAAAATTAAAATATTATTCTTGAAATTTAATTTAAAATATCTAATTAAGATTTTGTTTTGTTTAATCTTAACTAGCTTTGTAAATTTTTATTATTTTAAAGTAAAAATAATTTTCTTTAACTAATAATATACAGTTAGTTGCTTCTAAAAGTTTGAGTTCACTTACTATGTTTTTATTATAAATTTTAACTTTAACAATTTATAAATCCTTAATTATATAACCAAAAATTATAAAATTTATATATATCATATCTTAGTACTAGTTTTATTTATT